CAGCCTTACTGCCGAATTAACGAACTCATCCAAAAAGCAGTTTCTTGTAAGCTGTAAACTGCAAAAAACGTTTTCTTTTCTCACTCATAGCTTCGCCTCACGCTCCATAAGTGTCGAACGAGTGCTATCGATCCAATACGAAAGGTACAGGCATTTGGTGTCGTTCAGCCGTTGAGTGCTGATGGCTCATCTGCTAGTAAGTGAATAACCATCACCTCCAACTCTTCAAACCACTGCGCTGATGAATCGACATTCAGTGACTAGTGAAATTACGTATTTCGTAATTACAATACGTACAATTGATACCATATTAATTTTTCACTTGCTGCCGACTACAATTTTTCACGGCAGGGTATTATGTGAAATACAACCAAAATGATGCCGAGATATTTGCAGAACTCCGAGCCACAGACAATAGATACTCTGCTTTGAATGCAGTACACCATAACCTTTTATCATGGATTCATCCTTGTCCTTTATTCCTCTCTTTTGTCATGGAATCACCTTCAATCTCTAAATTCACCGCGGTAGGTTAGTTTTTTTCTTTCGTAGAACTTCGGTATTCTTTGGTCATAAAGCTAGAGGATAAAGCTTTCGGCGTTGATCAATCCCTGAGGGATGCGCCATGAAATCGACTTTATTAAGCATCGTTTGGAGGTGATGGAATGCATATATGGCCTTTACAATGACTCGCGGTGGCCTACTGATGTATCGAGCCAGTGCTGCTATACTCCCAGATAAATCTGTTACCAATTTGCTGACCCAGCGGGGATGGAGGGCTTGGTGGGCCATGGACGCGTGGATCGATTCTACACGTGTGTTGCTAGGCACATCCCACCATTGCGCCACGCGCGCCCTTTTTTTTCCTTAGCCATTCATTGTTCACACATTCTTTTCTTCCCAATCTCTCTTTCGTCTACAACTTGACTGTCCACCTTGGATTTAACCGCTTGCCAGCCATGGAGATCCGAGAAGTTACGGTTAGAGTCTTAGGTAGTGCCGTGTCTAAGATAGGTTCGATAAGTTCTTCGTGCTTCTAGCAAATCTTGAGCGTCGTCGGTTCTATAATGTTATGTATTCGATTCATGGTGAAACACAGATCTCTTTCTACTTCTGTTTAACAAACGTTAGATGTTATTTTATTTCTTTATTTACGTGCAAGCTGACGTTTCGGCGGATTTCGCCTTCCTCAGGGCCGCTTTTGCTAAACAGAAATAAAAAGAATTATTCAATACCGACGTTAATAGAAGGTCGGACGTGGGAGTTACACAGATTTCTCATTATTAGATTGACCGGAAATTAGTGCAGGTTTTTCAAATGTTTATTTCCTGTTTTTTTTTTTTCGGATGATGTACTATTGTTCATCGATGCAAAGCTTATTTCATGCGTTTTCGCTCAATATAGTTGAAGTGCAGTATAAAGGGTATTTTTGTCAAATTTTAAGGACTACAATTTCTGATATCGAAGCGATACATGATACTTACTTGATAGTCGAATGTCCCGTACTCACTGGTTGTGCGGGCCCCAGCATAATCACCGTTTTTCAGAGATTTTTTGGTTAAGCCATTGTGGTTCCCTGGAATACGGAGGTCAGCCTGCCCAAAATGTGACCCAGCTCTTCACCGCCACAGGTAGTCGCAACTTTGTGGATCTGAGGAATATTTGCCACTATGCGACTTTGATACCAGGACGGTGGTGGGTCCTCGTATTGGTTTACTCTTACTTAGGCTTCCTGATGGAAACGCCGGACTCTTTCTCAGCACGGGAGTGCGTGCAGATAGGACAAATCCCCCCGCTGTACATCGCAGTCCGACACCCATGAACACTTCCCAACCACTGTGAGGCGGTAAACCGTTGGAAGGATCGAAGCGATAATTTTGGCAAATCTACTTCTAGCAATTGGAACTCGGACGTGCGCATAGCAAACGATTAGAAACGTCAGTGAGTGAGACATAAGGCCAAGAAAGTGTTAACGGAGACGCAGTGCAATTTCGGTTCGGAAAATCTCGTCGTAACGACTTCGACGTTGAGGATGAGAGAGGTCACGAACATCCTTCTGCTGTTGACGACGATGAATCAAAGCCTTCTGTGGAAATAAAAGCATGCAAATTTGCTCGAGAAGTTGCATAAGAACTCAGTGCAAACATCTTAACTGGTGCTAAGATCCAAAATTTGAATTTATTTTTGCACGACCCATCTTCACACCTACTGTGCAGATTCCAATATTCCTTGTGCTCAATTCGTTTCGCCGCATCCGTCATCAACGAAGGTCTTCGAACATTTCGCGTCTTGTATCTGCTGTTGCTTGAAGACTGTTGTCTCATTTTTGAATGTTGTTGAATAATGGTCGACTCGGTTCTCCCTCGAGTCCTGGGATAGTTGGACTAGTGCGTCCCCACTTGCATAGCAGGAGTGACTTCCCCTCAGACAATTCTGGCGGCAGTTTTCCGAGAAGGGACTGAACACAGGCCAGATGAGCCCGGTGCGGGGTCGAACAAGAACCGTGCTCGTGATGAACGGTCTCATAAACAAGCATTTAAAAAGCATTTGAAATTCGAAAAGCTCGGCAAATAGATGCCGTACGAAGAGGCAGCACATCGTACTAGCGATATGCGTTCACAATTCGAGAAACTGAGCTTGTAAAGCTTGAACGAGCACTTGCCGGTTTTCTCCCTTTCTTAATACCACTTTTTCAACAATCTCCATAACTTCTTTTGCGAGAAATGCCTCAGAAACCAAGCCAGTGCCGAAACTACCTTCAATTACTTTATCACTTCCGGAATTTTAGAGGTTTATGTAAACGGGATAAATAAATTTGTTTTTTCTAGGCAAAAATTTATATGTCCTAATGGTTTTCGTTTCGAATAATAAAGCTTATTCTGAGCTGAGCTATTCCACTTTGAAGACTACAGGTTGAAATCCTTCATTAATTTCCGAGCAACGTAATAGCACCATGCCACGAGGATACACCATTAGGTGTAATGTGGGTATGAGTGGCATGTGGCTACTATTTGCATGTGTTACCACGGTCCACTCATTTTTTTTAATAGGGCGCGTGTGGCGCAGTGGTTGGATGCGCCATTGCGACACACACGTGGAATCGATTCTCGCACCCGTGATGCACCAAGCCTTCCATCCCTCTGGGGTCGGCAAATTCGTACCAGACTTGTCTGGAGGATAGCAGGACTGGCTCGATACATCGTTAGGCTACTGCGAGTCGTTGTAAAGGCCAGATATGCATTCAGTCACTTCCAACGATAGTCAATGAAGTCGAATGCATGGTGCATCCCTCAGGGATTGATCAACGCCAAGAGATTCGTCCTTCTTACTACGGTCCACCATATGAATACATTGTTGTCAGGATTTGGAACCGTTCTGCATCTTATGTTCAGTCTAATTTAGCATTTTTATGCCCACACGTTCTATATGGTAGTTATTATTTATTAAAGAATAAAAGGAAAATAATAGTCAGTAAACACTCGGAATCATGCTCAGGGAACCGAGAAATGGTTTTTTTTTATATTTCTGAAAGAAAAATAGAGCGATTCTCCTACTAACCCCGAAAACAGCGTCTATTCTCGATAAGTAGTCGAGTAACTACAAAATATCCTGCTAAGAAACTCTATGGGGCAAAAGAAATCAACCAAAGTTGTGCGCATCGAAATCAACACGTTTGGTTTGTACATTCTTTTAGCACACGTTTTGAATTCAACGAGCATGGTCGCGAAAGGACTAAAACTGTTAATTGTACTTCATTGCGCTGCTGTTCAATTGCAGATATTCGGTTCTCGCACACAACTGTTCGTCGCAACACGAGATCAACTCCTTCTGTACATTCTTGCTAGATAGAGACACCTTCACCTCTAATGCAGGAATATTGTAGAACCATAAAATTAAATCAAAACTCACTAGCGAATCAAAGTCGCTCGATGTTTTGCAGCACGACAGTGTCAGGCGGCTGACGCGAATCGAACTGATCCAATTGATAACAAGTGCAGTTATAGTTCTATTTTGATTCCAACAGCCATTGTAGTATTCGATGCACTTTTGTACACTTTATCACAATTTCTTCAAGGAAATGATTGATTGCTATGGCATAATTTTTGTTTTAGTCGGCGAGTGTAGCGCAGTGGTTAGAGGTGCCCTGTTATAGATATGCGGTCCTTAGTTCGATTCCCAACCTGACTCACAAGGCCTTTCATCCCTCCAGAGACGACAAACTGGTACCAGACTTGTCTGGGAGGATAGCACCACTTAGTTGACACAACGGTGGGCCGCCACTGGTAATTCCATTGTACAGGCCAGATTTGCATTCACTGACCTCAAACGATCTCGGTTGAAAAATGGAATGAAATGGAAGAGAAATTTCCAGGCCTATATATCCGATGGTCAGAGTTCTTCACGAAAAGCCTAGAAGAAAGATATGATACTCAACGAGTTCCTAGAGCGAGCAGAATCCCCTGGGCTGCTGTTGCTCGCGGCAGGGAAAAATGAAAAATTTATTGGTGCCCGCTCGAGTCACTCGACGATCAACGGGGCTACAGGTGATGCAGGTGATATCTTCGGAATCAATTTGATCTGCTAATAGTTCCTTAGGTAAATACAGCCGAGAAAAACTTGGTCCGATTGCTCTTCTTCTTGGATCTAATGGAGTACGACGGAAGTCTACAAAGACACACCGGAGATGCAATGTGAAATCATTTTAACAAAGAAACTGTCAGCGGCTGCTTTGTCGACGCTTCTCACAGGCGCGTTAAAGAAAACGTAGTTTGTCTATCATAACAAAGTCGAATGTAAAGGATTTTGTAAATGCTAAAGACCAAAATACGCTTTGAGATAATCCCAAAATCTGTTTAGCTGGCCGTGGTAATAAACATTCCCGTTGTTATTCAGCACATGCGGTTCTTCGTCAGAAGTTCAAGCGACTTGAAAACAAGTAAAACTTTATGCACCCGTGTATATAACGTGAACAAAAGAATAACTGATCTAGTAACAATTGACTAGAGAAAAGTGGGTCCTTGAGCGGCAAGCAGACGAACGTCAACCATTTCCTGCTCAGCGCTGCTGATCATCGCGTTCGTCGGAATCGACTGCATCGTCGATAAACCATTCGCCTACAGAACCGGCTATTGGCGTCTAGTACGTCTACATCAGGTGTTGTCACTTACCGTGCCAGCGAACTTAACATCACTCGGCGGTGCTGCCTTTGTTTGACCCAGGCTTCTACCCGATCGACTACGTCGACACCGTTGTTGTAATTGTCCATTCAGAGCACCTAAACTAACAGAAGCAAGTATAGATATGCTTTTATTAGATGAAAATGCACAAGAACCACTCGTTTGACTTTAACTCACTAATAATGCGCTTTTTAATTCGTTCACTTACCGTAGAGAATCCAATTGATAGCCGAATTCGTGAACGGTAAAGCATGAATAAAATACATAATATAGACGAAAAGTGGTGGAACGGTTCCCTCGGAACCACCTGCAATAACAGAAGTTTGTGTACTTTTCAAGGTTATGGAAGTCACATGGTTGATCAGCTTAATGGGATTGCGTGCCGACTCCACAAACGCAATAAAGCGATGGGGATTGCTTTGCCCCATGTTGTCAAACGGTGGCCAGGATATTGATACTCTAATTCAACACCGTTTACGAGAAAGAAAAATTACGAGAAATTCGTCAACCTTGCTGGATAGAGAGTTTAGTTGTCTGGACGGTAAGATCCAAATGTTTTTTATTCTTGGTATGCAACTTCGTTACAAAAAACTACACTAGCAGCTGTTCTATCATTTGAAGATGAGATTGGAATTGTAATCTCTTCCTCATTCCGAGCAATTTTACTTTTCTTCTATTTTCTCAAATAAAACGTCCTTTAGGGGTGACGTAGAGTTCAGTTGGTTTTTGTACATTGGGTAGTCGAGTAAATGATTAGGACCAATCCTTAGCCAGTTGGTTTAAGCGAATCTCTTTCCATCTTTCTATAGTGGTTTCTCCTCTGGTCCCATTTTCTCACGTCCATCTCGTGATGAGAAATAAATTATTGAAGAGGAATTTGTGAATGATGCTCATCCACTGTTATAATAGGATACTAATAAATGAGTAGGAACAAAATAGGTTGTAATCGTGACGACTGGTAAAATGGAGTCCACACATGCACGCACACGAATGGATATACACAGATATATACAAACATACAGACAGACAGACAGACAAACGAACAGAGAGAAAGACAGACAGACAGGAAGGTGGACACACAGACACACATGCGCACACATTTCGGATACTTTGAAAAGACCTCGGTTCTTTGTCAAAAGTAATACCCAATCCATAGCACCAGATATAAGATTCTGAGAGAAAAAAGAGATTAAAGTATTTAGGCGAATTTTTTTTGTTGCAATTGCAAGCCGTAAATTTCCTTAGTTCTTGCTTGAGTTACGAAATGGCAATTTTCTGAAATTAAGTTGAGAAGGATTGCAGACCCTCTATCCTCTATGCAAACATACCGTATAATTTTCTCATTTGGCAACATTTCATTACATCACGTGTAAAACCACAGCGTGCAATAGCTGAGAACTTTCGTTCGGTCATCCGTTGCCGACTCCGCGGGGATTTTCGATACGAACAATGATTTCTTAAGAAAGAATCTACCTGCATTTTCAAGGTAGACAGCGAATACGGTAGCCATCCAGAACGGTGTCCAACACAGGAAGTAGAAGCATGCGACCGCCAGCGTGTACAGCGATATTCTCATCAGGGGAATGTGTGATGACTGAAACGCTCAAAGATCGGTAAATCTTATTCTTTACTTTGACGTTCTGACTGTCCGAATATATCTGTGGTTTTCATGTTATCTCCCACGACCGACTTTCTATTAACCTCGGCAATGATCAAGTAATTCTTCGTATTTTTGTTGAGCAAACGCGAGGTGTTATTATTCTTTGTTCACGATTAAGCTGACGTTTCGGCGGATTTCGCCTTCCTCAGAGCCTGGAAAGGTCAAGTTGACAGCAATCCACTCGGCCAGACGCCTCCATAACCAAACAAAGAAACTCTAAACCAAGATTTCAATCACTTTGAACACAGCTTTGCACACTCACCGCTTCCTATGAGGTTTCCACTAAGTACGTCACGTAGAGACCAACCGCACAAAAATCACATGGAAGTATAATGTGCCCCTCGTATCAGAAAAGCAGCTTTATATACTGCCCTATATCGCTCGTGATAATAAGGCATTCTTCCCTGCTGTTCATTTTCGGATTAGTGGAATTAATCCAGAATGCCTCGAGAGTTTTTCGCGCCTGTGTTCTTGATTCGCGTGCGAGGATCGTGACACATACTTTGAAGTCGTCTCCGTTATGTCTCTGGGTCCTATGTGTGCCTAGCGGGGTATTTGGTCGATTTTTGCCGGCTAGGTGTTCTTTCATGCGGACACAGAGGGGTCTACCCGTTTCGCCAATGTATTCGTCACCACACATCTTACAGATCAGATAAACTATACCCGAGCTCATGCAATCACCGTCTTTACCACTGGGGCAAATTATGCAATTTTGAGTTGCACATAGACGGTCATATAGGCGGTTACGAACTAGCTGGCGCTTAAGATTACTCGGTGGTATTCCAACTACGCTTACCGCATTCGCTAAACCCGCCCTTCTTAAGCAGCGTTTTATAGCTGTACTTATATCATTTGAGATGAAGGGCATGATAAACGGGACCTTGTTATCGCTAGAGTTGTCGTTTGGGGGCTTGGGTTTCCTCCACGGCTATCTCGAGGAGCTGCAGTTTCGTAGTCATGGAAAATGGGTATTTGCCACACCAACTTCCGCAGCTCCTCGCTCTGCTCTCTTCCCGTGCACACGTTGGTTGCTGTTCGAAACATGTTTCTTATAAGCGCTCTTTTCGTGTGAGAGGGGTGAGAGGAGAGGTAATGAACCAAAATGTTAGGACAGTCACCGAATCTATCTTGCGGAGCTTATCTTGAAGTTTATGTATTGGACATCGAATTGCGAATACTACGCACCTGTCTACGAAGCCGACAAAACCAGATGTTCGCCAAGTGGAAGAAAGGCGAGACGAAGGAAAACTTTTGTGCTCAGTATTTGGAGGACGGCCTCTGAAGGATAATAGTGGGCAGGTCAGTGTTGATTTGCAACTCTATTAGGTCTAATGCTAAAGTAACTTTGCGGAGAAAATCCGAAGACCTTTTGAGTAAATCACGTAACACAGCTTCAAAGCGCACAAAAATATCGCTAAGGAACATCAAACAGATCACAATAGGATAGTTAATGTGCAAGAAAATTCAAGGCTAACCGTGTTAGGAGACATGACTCTCCCTGACGGAGCGCGCTCGTTATTGGAATTGGGGCCGAGTTTCTCATCATCTGAACCCATTTCTAAGATGACCTTGCGTAGGGTCGCATGTGGTTTACATGAACTTCAAGATAGACTCCGCAAAAAAGCTAGAGATGAAGCGCTAAATAGGTGCGAACAACACCAAGTGGAGGCCCTACCAATAGCACCATTTCTCCCGAGGTTCTTTAGACAACAAGAGCCCAATAATGAAGTTGAAGTTAATTTTCGGATGTTTGCGAATGAAACTCTCAAAGTCCTTAATCACTATCGCGCGAAAAGATACAGCTCCAACCTCACTCTAGCGCAAAAACGTGGTATGCGAAGTTTGTCGTAATTCCTCATCAGTTAGATGTGGAGATAACGAAAAAGCATCTTGAAGATGCTTCGCTTTATCGCCCATCATCTAAGAAGGAATTTAAAAGAAAATACCGAAAATTGACCACGAATGGGCCAAAATGGCAAGGGCTGCTGGTTTAAAACCATCAGTTATCTCTCAACTAAAAGTTGACTTACCAACATGCCCCATCTTGTACTTACTTATAAAAACTCATAAGTTAGTATCCAGCGATGATCTTGCGTCTACCGATCCATCACTATTTAAGGTTAGACCTATCATTAGCTGCGTAGACGGGCCAACGGACAGGATAAAAGTACTACGCNCAGCTCCAACCTCACTCTAGCGCAAAAACGTGGTATGCGAAGTTTGTCGTAATTCCTCATCAGTTAGATGTGGAGATAACGAAAAAGCATCTTGAAGATGCTTCGCTTTATCGCCCATCATCTAAGAAGGAATTTAAAAGAAAATACCGAAAATTGACCACGAATGGGCCAAAATGGCAAGGGCTGCTGGTTTAAAACCATCAGTTATCTCTCAACTAAAAGTTGACTTACCAACATGCCCCATCTTGTACTTACTTATAAAAACTCATAAGTTAGTATCCAGCGATGATCTTGCGTCTACCGATCCATCACTATTTAAGGTTAGACCTATCATTAGCTGCGTAGACGGGCCAACGGACAGGATAAAAGTACTACGCTCAAATAAGATGGTTGGCAATGGGACAACGACCGGCTCCAAGCCTTGCCATTACATTTATGTCTAAGGTGGAAGCACCGGTGACTGATCTCGGGCCGCTACTCTACTGTAGGTATGTAGACGACTGCTTTGTCCTTTGCTCAACGCAAGAGGAAATGGACAAATGTTTCGAGTTGTTAAATGCACAGTCAGAGTACATCAAGGAGGGGTTTAGAGAATTCGGTAAGCGTAGTTGGAATACCACCGAGTAATCTTAAGCGCCAGCTAGTTCGTAACCGCCTATATGACCGTCTATGTGCAACTCAAAATTGCATAATTTGCCCCAGTGGTAGAGACGGTGATTGCATGAGCTCGGGTATAGTTTATCTGATCTCCTGTAAGACGTGCGGTGACGAATACATTGGCGAAACGGGCAGACCCCTCTGTGTCTGCATAAAAGAACACCTAGCCGGCAAACATAGACCAAATGCTCCGCTAGGCACGCATAGGACCCAGAGACATAAGGGAGAGGACTTTGAAATATGTGTCACGATCCTCGCACTGGAATCAAGAACACAGGCGCGAAAAACTCTCGAGACATTCTGGATTAATTCCAGAAATCCGAAAATGAACCGCAGGGAAGAATGCCTCATTATCACGCGTGATATAGAGCAGTATATAAGACCGCTATTCTGATGGGAGGGGCACATTGTGCTTCCATGTGATTTCTGTGAGGTTGGTCTCTGCGTGACGTACTTAGTGGAAACCTCATTGAAAGCGGTGAGTGTGCAGAGCTGTGTTCAATGTGATTGAAATCTTGGTTTAGAGTTTCTTTGTTTGGTTATGAAGGCGTCTGGCCGAGTATAGATTGCTATCAACTTGACCTTTCCAGGCTCTGAAGAAGGCGAAATCCGCCGAAACGTCAGCTTATTCGTGAATAAAGAATAATAACACCTCGCGTTTGCTCAACAAAAATTCGAAGAATTACTTTCATGTTATCAGTTTACAATCACCTTATTGTATCAACTGCACACAGGGCTAGAAGCATATTACTCATTATTATTACTTACTTATTCGTTATATTATTTAATAAGTTGTCTGCAGCAGCAGGACCATGCCACGGAGATCCGTGGTTGGATTTGAGTCATCAATAAAAAATGAATTATCCTAAACGAAAGAAAGACATTCCCTGATTCAAGACAGAATTTTGTGCTTGACTATGGACCATAGATAAATAGTATTACGACTAAGTCGTTCAGAAATCATTCGTTCCCTTATTTGCGTTCTCGACTCTTGAGCTTTCGAAAATTTAGGAATTATCTCTCTCCGCAGAAAATGGGGCTGGAGATAATCACTGCTCTATTCTGTGACGATTCGTAGACTCTGAGGTGATTTTGAAAAAAAAACGTTTTTTTTTCCCACTAAAATCAAGAGATATGGAGAAACTATACAAACCTTGAATGTCCTAGCGTGTTGACGAAGTTTTCTAAGAAGTTTCGAGTAGAAATAGGCGATAAGTATCAACGGTGTGCAGTAACAGAGCACAAACTGGTAGATGGTGAAAGCAGTGAACATCTGCGAGTCGATGTCCACCGTGCATTTCTCGATTTTCATCCTAGTTATCTTTCGATAGCCTGGAATGGGTGAAGGCCGATCATAGCAGTCTATCCGCCTACGTTCGTATGAATTCTTCCAGAAAAAGCATCACTCTTAGTTTCGCTAGTAAGGACATATTCATAAGGTTTACAAAGACCACACGTAGCGCAAGGATTAGAGCTGCCCTACAAAGATTATGGTCATCGATTCAATTCGACGACCTAGACTAACTAAACATTCCATTCCCCTAGAGTTAGCAAATTTTTACGGAACATTGGGGTGCCCCATACCCGCGCTTGACGCCGCCTTATGAAGTTATACTCGTGGGTTTTATTCGGAGATTGATATAACCCAGACGCCATACCCTCTATCCTTTATCATTAAAGTATGTTTCGAAATAAATTTATCTAATCAAATTTACAAGCAGTTTTACGTGATTTTGTAACGACGGTGAAGTGGTTGAGGTTGACACGAAGTTCAAAATTGTCTTCATAGCAGCTTTCAGCTTTTTCTTCTGTATCCTAACTTACCGGTCTCCCTGGCAAACATGATGATCTCCCTAGAAGCGAACGACCACAGAAGAGGGCAGAGAGTGATAAGCGCGTACGCGGCTAAGCCTAGAAATTGTTACGAATTCATTACTGGTAATGTCTATGTCGTTAGTCATAGATGAGGTTTTCTCATAGGCTTCGTGGCATCACATTTCAGCTCATCAGAATTTGCATAAATCGTTGTACAGATGGGATACTCTTTTGTTGAGTTTAAAGTGTATAAATATCCTCACTAAGCCAGAATAAATGTTCTTGAACTTATCGACTATAAATACGATAACATCTAATTAAAGCTCAGACTAGAGCTAGAAAATTGTTTACCATGACTAACAAAGACAACAACAATGTGGTGCCCGTACTTTGTGAAATCGCGACGGCTCCTAGCCAGATTATTACTCGGAGGATAAGACACCGATTGGAAAAACTGTTATGTCATTGGGTTGTTCGTAGTCACGCCCAAGTTACAGGGAACATTCACTTTCACTTTCAACTTTCATCCACAACTTCAAAAGAAGTCTCAGACTGTAAGGTCTTATACGATTCCTTACAGTCATTGAGTGTTTTGAAAAGTAATGGCAGATTTCACCTTAATCCATGTGTTTCAATTGGTATGTATTTGTTCAGCTGGTTCTCTTTCTCCAACAGCGTTAGATCTCTTATGACATTTTGCAACAGACGACGCTCATGATGATCACCCTCGACACTTCCGTGAATAACTCATGAATCAATTTGGGAGAGTAATTTTCTTTGCCATAATAAGAGATATCAGTAACAGAAGCGTGAGGTATTCGGCCCTTCAGCAGCTTTGCCGTGAAATGGATCTCCATGTAAGGCTATCATGCACCTACGTTTCTTCAATCAAACCTGCCCATTGAAGCAAAACATCGATTTCTTTTGTACCGACGTTAACTGAAAACCGGTTTACAAAGGTACTACTGCGAAATGTGGTTGTATACTCAACACCATCTGCTACGGGATTAATTATCCTTATGAGAACAAATTAGCACCAGTAGACAATTATTCACAAATCGTCTTGCATAAATCTGCACTGCTGACAGAGGGGATTCTTCATCGAATCACTGAGGCGAATCGAACCGTTGTCTTTCACGGTTGTATAGTATCTTGTACCACACCGGTTTGACTTCGGTGTCAGAACGTCAAAGCTTAGATTTACTTCTTCAGCGAATGTAAAAATCAGCTACGAAATTCACAGAGCATCCGATTATGTGAAAGACTGGAGCCGTGAATTCTTTTCTCAACACGGCTTCCGGCATGACATTTCCCACTTCAACTGGCCACTTTTTTTTGGAAAAGACAATTCATCTCGTTTGTTTCGAACTTTTGACTTTCATAGACTTATTTTTACACTTTTCAATATCCGCTACTTCCTTTTTTCTTTCGATGCCAATGATGATTGCACTTTGAATTAATAAGCATTCGAGTGGAATTCATCGAACCAATGTGAGAATGGCTACAAACCTATGAGAATGGTGATGGCCAACTTTCGAGACCTGAGAAATTTCTTCTGAGGATGACAGACTCCAGCGTAACGATCGAACGACATGGCAGTCAGTATGAGTGCTGAGAGGATCTTGCCGAAGTTTTCGAATACGGCATGAAGTTTGCACGGTACCGAGCCGAACATCCAGAATCCGAGAATCTGTACACAGAAATCGTAGCAATGACCCTAAGGGAAAATCGTGTTCAGAAAGTTTGTAAAGGAATAAGGATGATTGAAATGATGAGAGGCAAATTTTTCATTTAAGAAAAGAAAAATGGAAAAGTAAAAGGACAAAGAAACAAGCTAGTCGAAAAACTTCATAACTGAAAGAAATATGCAAAATGTTAGTTTGTCACCTGGTCGATTACGGTGAACGGCAGACTAAGGCACACTCCGAAATCGACGCATGAGAGAACGATGACGTAGACGAGAGTATTGTCGAGAGCCGACCGACTGGAACGAACGACGTGGTAAATGGTAGTCAGCACCGCCACGTTTCCGCATGTACCTGTAGCAAGAACTATGTTAACCTAACATGGGAGCATCCCTCGATCACGGAACGTCAGCCGATAGACACTCGAATCCCATGTTTCTTCCTAGCACACCTAGTCGTGAATTCGTTGCTGCTCTTTCTTGAAGTACTTAAGAGTGGACTTACCCAGAAGAAACAGCAACAAATAGGAAATTGCCATGATGACGACGTGCAGGTCTTCATTGTTCGGAGGGGGCAAAACGTCCTGCACGGAGGTGTACTTGGACTGAATCAAAGACGTTCTACACGAAAGTAATTTAGATAGTTTTTTTAGACAATTTTCTACTGAAAGCATCTAACTCTTTTATTAACCGCCTTTTTCTTTTTAATGGCAGGATATGTTGCGAAATATAACTCGTATGTAATGCTGAGATATTTGCAAAACTCCGGACCGCAGGTGTAAGCAGTGGGGAACGAACACGCGCTGCTGTCCTTACCGGGGAGCAGCGCACTTCACCACCACACCATCCGGCTCTTCCGTTTTGCCTGTCTCTCAGCTAGTCCTATCGATCTTTTTGCCATCGGCAATCACCCGTCAACGGGATTGACCTGGGGAGTCCAAATCGGCATTGAGCCCAGTTAAGCTGAGGCTTAGTTATAATCACAATCTTAACCCTTTTATTTACTGCTGAGAGACAGGCAAAACGAAGGACCCGGATGATGTGGTGGTGAAGTGCGCTATTCCCCGGAAGGGACAATAGCGCGCGTTCGTTCCCCACCGTATACACCTGCGGTCCAGAGTTTTGCAAATATCTCAGCATTACATATGAAAGCACTTACTTCTTGTCCACAGTCCATGAATTTCAATAATTAGAAATTTACTCGAGCACCCTTCGAGGATATGACTCACAGCTCTGAGGTTTTTTATTAAATAGAGCCTTTTTAATAAGGGCATCGAGCGAAGTCAAGATGTGCGCATTCGAATTGTTCGGAACGTCTTCATAGATCTAAGAAATTGTCATGAAAGAAGTCCGGCAATAAGATTTTAAGCTTTGGATCGTAGAGAATGCTTTCATTTCCTTCATTCAAACCTCCAATTTTCGATAAATGGCAAGCTTCTGTTTACTGTGCTATGCGCAATTATTTCTAAAGTAGGGTTTCTAGTTGGTAAGTTTCGCACTTCACAGAGCGTTCAACTGAAGCCAAGACGGCAGCCTGTTTTCTACTACAATGGAAATGTTTCACCCGAGTGAAACACCCAGTCTTCCCGATTTCATTAGTGGCGGCACATCACCGTCACCGATTAGGTGCGGATTATGCACCACGACCCTCTCATTTACCCGATCGCCATTCCAGCCATCTCAATTAATACTGCAGTTGGGTCAGTGAAAACATTGTTGCTCAATCGAAGATGAAGGAGGAAAGAAGGAAAGAAGCTGTTTTGTCGGAAGCAATGAGGGCTAAACACAATCCCCAACCCATAACATGATGGCTCACGCCGGTCAGGTCACGCTCAACACGACCACTCTAATTAATGCGTTCAGTAGATACACTGAAAAAAAACGACCATTTTCTTACATAGCAATTTAGAACAGCAGTCATTTTTTCACTAATGTCATTGTATTTGTGGTTGCCGTTGGTGACGGGTTTCATATCCAAGGGCATTGATAATTGTTATAAAAAAAGACGAACGCTAGTAATGAAACTTCCTATATGTCGAAGTCAACGCTATGTTGTTATCTTTCTCTGCCCTGATTTCCAAGCGGTCTGCTTTTCGCTTGATTCCTATGCGATTCTGAGAACAACACAATGGTAGGTGTTTGCCACGACGTCAATTCAAGTCCATGCTTTTAATTGCAACATAATTAAAAATCGTTGCTTCGTTGATGTTGGATGCAGCTCATCATCTTTTCGTGCTATTTTCCGAGTATGCTTGAAATAAGGACTAAATGAATTAAAATAGTTAACAACGACATCCTCCATGGTACATGCCTCAGAAAACATCTGACAGAAGCAAGGAACAACCAATCTGTGATACGTGACCCTATCAGCGGAGGTGAGCCACAGCTTCATTTAGCGATTTCTACGTTAGGAAAACGTATGAGGTTGGTTTTTTGGCCTGTCTTAGTTTCAGACCAATAGGCCAAAGCGGTGGCCATGAAGAACATGCTGGATTTCATCTACAGCGTTATTGTTGGAGTGTTCTTATTTGATCAAACCCGAGGTTAATAGAAAGCCGATCTCAGGAATTTCTTCTATAATGCTCCGCTTGTTGTGCTTTATGGAAGTGTAGCGAAATTAATGTTCACGTTGGCAACAAAATTATGATGTTAGACAAGCTTAGACGATCATTAGAGAGACGGTAATTTTTTAATGGTAGCGTATCAATAGAGATGTTTTTATAATAATTTGATGTATTGTGTTCTTCAAAGTCTTCAAAGAGATTATTACATCGTTATCGGGAGTTGGGCTAATTGTCTAATGAAATTCAACATGTCAATGAGAAGAGAAGATAAAAGTATATCAATCTCTGGTCGAACCTAAAGAACAGTTTAGCTATGTGCTATGAAGAACGCTTGCAGTACCAACGATGCGAATGAGAAAAGTGTTGCGACTCGCAGGTGATGTACCATCTATCTATTTAGTGAAGCGAGTAGGTGTATAATAACAACATAGCAAGGAATATGTAAGAAACGCGTTCCAAGGGCAAGGTTACCTTGAACTCTCACTGAATGGAAAATGTGGACGTCAACCAATTCCGTTCTATAAAAAATAATAAGTTCGAATCCCCTGAGGCGGCATCATGTCCTTTACGGGTCATCTACATCTGGGTTACCCAACAAGAAAAACACACACTAAAATATATACCTACAGTTATAGTTATCCTTTGCTATTAAGAAATGATTAAAAGTCATTATAAGTGAGGATACGGGATGGAATTCACGTTTCCTCTTGTTTTCGAAACATCGCCATCCAAGTTGAAGAAACGAAGCACTCTAGGCAGTTTTGGGCCGAAATTATATTTGTAAGAGCTTCGCAAATCATGACGAATCTTGACATTGTGCTCTGTCATAGTATATCAGAAAGTATATCATAGTATATCAGAAGAAATCATGTTAAGCGAAAGCAATGTTCTTTCTTGGAACGAAAGCACACATTTGTAACAAAATTACCTCTATCTAAATCGATTTCGAAGCAAGACCGTTAAAGAAAACGAAACTAATTATAGACATTGATAATTGATGATGTAAATAGAAATTGTAGTAGAAACTGTCGAAAGTGATCTCGAACTCTTGACGTAGAGGAAAGCTGACAAACGGATAACTCACCATGTCGATCATCGACGGCATCAGAAACTCATCGTCGTCTTCGGCTAAGCTCAAATTCAACGACGCCTCCATGACCAGGAGCGGAGGAGAGAGTTCCGACTCTACTGTGAAGTATATTAGTGCGATGCAATAAATAAAGAAAAGCATAACTGCAAATGTATGATGACGATGACGGCGAAATATGGTGAAAACAAGGATACGAAATCGTAAGGAATGTGTACAAAACGGGAAATGTTCAGTGCTTTCTTGTTGCTAGGCTATTTGCTCAGCAGAAAAGTGTGCTTGTTTTTTGCCCGATTTAAAGATATTCGAGAAAAAACCATTGTAACTTCTGATTTATAACTGAGAGCCTTCAAAATTTTACACTGATTACAAACAGTTGAAATACTCTCGGCTTATAAAAAATTCATGCCGCCTGATATTGGGAAAAAATCCCGTTCAAAGTTCAGAATAAAACGTAGCCGAAACGCTACTACAAAACGTCAAGCATTGATCGTATTCTAGTGGATGACAACTCTACGAATAATGTCTGCCACGATGGAACTGGCGAGGTCGTCAACTGCCTTGAGAAAAAACGGAAGACGTTATGGTGTTCTTCCATTCCGACGGTGCTACTACCATCGCGTTCTCCATCAAAAGCATTCGAATTGCCGTCGATGCAGAAGATTAGCCATGATATTCAAGGCACAAATCATAGTGACTGCTGTTTATTTCGTTACAATAGCTTTTTCCAGTTGTCTTCAAATTTCATCAGACGTCTCCGTTTTCAATCGGTGCTTAATTCGAGCTGACAGAACGATGTGCTTCGTTTAGTTGGTTTGAAAAGTAGGACACATACATGAGCGGCTAACTAGACCCTTTCCTACTCAGACGTCTTAATTTTGTTAAAAGAAAAAAGAGAATCGTTTTCGACTTAATGTCGTATGGATGCTAATCGCCCGAATCGCTAGTTGTAGATGTCGAATGAAGAAACAGTTGCATAGAGCAGAAAATATATTCCAAGGTGATTTTTCGAAGAAAAGCAAATATGGCACTCGTTCTTTTCGTCGTGCATTCATCTATTGCCAATATAACACGACTAAAATAGTTTAATATATAGTAAAATTGATATCTCTCTGAGACTGGAAGTGGGGAAAAGTTGAAAAACTTGGAAATGGGCTGTATTACGTTGTCGTCACACTCTCAATGCGGCACGGAATGAAGTGAGATCCGTGATAAGTAACGCCTACCGACGAACATAAAGGACACATGGCAGAGATGACGATGGTGGACGATTTGGTTCTTCCAGAGACTGGTCTTGTTGGTCCGAATTCGAAACGAGGACGTGTGAGGATTGAAGTGATGTAGAAGATATCCGTATACGTGAAATGCGTGAGAATCATCTCATGTTCCATAGCACGACTAGCAATGGAGCACCACCACATGGCCGAAGGATTGCGGGCAGGGGGTTCACAGGCTGCATCAAAGATCGGCTGAATAAGGATTTCATCCACAGTGCTAGGATATAAATTGAGTTTAACACAACGAACACAGCCTTCGCTGAAATTACGTCTAATTAATTCTCAAGGAAAGCAGAACGCAGAAAAAGCCGATCTCCGAGTTTACAATTAAATCACATCTAAGCAGAAATCTTGCGATGGCAAAAACGGCAACAAATTGGGGCTGTCACATTGTCCTGAACTGCAGTACTCTTCACGTTGAACCTCTCCGTAGGAATCAAAACTGTGAGAAACTACTGCTTCACAAAACAGCTTTTCCAGAAAGAAGGAACCAGTATGATGAAATTCGCTAAGCGACTACTTCACTGTTAAATCTGAAAGGAAATTAGCTGGAAAGCAGGAGGTTAATTACCAGAGTATCTCCCTTCTGGAGTTGCTAATGCCAAAAAAAGGGATGAAAATAGCAGTGACTAGGATGGTAGGAGAAAAGAAACAGAAAATTTCCTATTACGAATGTCAATGAAAATGTGATGAAGAAAGTGGGCCAAGCAATGACATGAAGGTTTCTTTCATAAAGAAATGTCATCAGGCATAGAAAAAATGTCAATGGTGATGTCGGTGGCTCATGAGCTGCTCTGAACGGACGAATTTCCGAAGTTCTGTAATAATATGCATGTTGATTATCGGTTTCATTGCTTATAAATATAAAAAGAGCGGGCATAACGCAGTGGTTAGCGATGCTGTCGATCGGGAAACAAAAGGCGCTAGTTCGAACCCCGCCCTAACGCTCTCCTCCAATCCACATGGGAACGCTTCAACGTGGCTATCTGCAAGATTGCAATGAGAATCGACTCGACTGGTATTCTACGACATTCGCAAAGAAGAGGAAATCCTCAAGCAGCAACCTAAAAAGCAGGCAATATATTCGAAGACCATTGTGGACGATGAATGCGAGGAAGACGAATCGTATGTAAAAAAGTGCTGGGATCCGCACAGTAGCTGTGGTGACGAGGTGACGAGTCATGTATAGCTCTCTATAAAGCTCTCTACAAAGCGCTGATCATAACCTGGAGTATGCGGCATGCTTCGACTTTATTAAGCATCGTTAGTGGTGATTGAATGCACAATTGGCTTATACAATGGCTCATGGTAGCTAACTGATGTAACACGCCTGTGCTGCTATCCTCCCAGGTAGGTCTGGTACCGATTTACCGACCTCGTAGGGAAAAAAGCCATAGTCAGTCCGGAGCGCGTGATGGATCCCAGGAGTGGGATTGCACGACGTCTCTAACCACTGCGCTAGACGCGCACCGGTCATGTAAAATAAAAAAAATGAAAATAAAAATATCCATGAAGATTACAGACAGACACATATTTTTGTAAAGATCAACACAGCACTAAGTGAGCATTTGAGCATTCAGAGTTGGGAAGAAAAGAGTATCTCAAAAATTGTTAGACTACGAAACATTTTTCGTACCAAGCCAATGATATTCACAAAGATGGGTGGTCTGGATGTCTTCAAACGTTTCAGAGCACCTGAACTTACAAGAAGAAACCATAACTCTGATACGAAGCTAGTGCTATAGTCATGTTTTTACCTAAGTTTTCGCATACAAAAGAAGAAGTGGATTGGGTCACTAAGAGCTTTTATGAACGATGGAACCTTAATAAGAAAGGCTACTCACACTAAAGGAACTAAGTTCACGAGGAATATTTCATATGCTCATCAATCCATACGTATGAAAACTGAAAAACTGGTATTGATTTTCCTGTTCACTATCCGTTCAGGTGGTCAAGAGACAACAAATTCGTTAAAGCGTTCGTTCGTTCATTTAGTGTTTCGTTCGTTACGGCGTTTCGTTTTGGCCCATTCGTTTAATGTCTAGCGTTTTCTACGAATAATGAACAGAAAATGAAAAGAAATTCAAAAATCCATTCGGAAGAACTACTGAGACATCTTGAAAGCACTCGTGAGAAGCTAAAACATGATAAGAGCTAGGGGTTGTTGATGTCGTGAAACTTGAACCACGAGTTAGTTTCGTACGTGTGATTCGAGCCAGGTGTGATCGAACTCCACTAATGAGGTCCACATCCCAAAGTTTGAGTAGACCAACCAACTGACCCAACTCACTTTACAACAAGGATCGCTGCTGATAAGAGGAAATACATGGTCCCGAATTTTTCAGTTTCTTTAATCGACTATACCGAGAAGTTTCTTGGTATCATTTTCTGGACCGGTTCTTCAGAGCTTCTTCTTCAGGAGAAAAAACTTCAGGAATTTGAATAAAGCAGATTGAACGAGATGTCATCGAAGAAATGACCTTTTAACGAACCTCACATGCAATCCAAGATCACACGTGCAATCTAAGACGATTGCAACACGAACTTGTAAAATATTTCACTTTAAATAGGAGACGCGAAAAAAAGGTAGGCATAAATTTGAAAAAAGAACAAAAGCGTCCTCCTTCGTTAAATTCGTAAAATTATCCAATTCTGAAGGAAAAGCGTTATTATGTCGACGCCGATACCGACGCTAATGAATAGTAAATTTTGTGCACCCCTGACGCTTGTAAACGAAGTTTATTACACAACTAAAGAAGAGACGTGTTTTCATAACCGGTCAGAAAAAACGAGAATTCGTGTAAACAACGGCTGTATAGTTGTTGACTGGTAGAGAGTAGCTTGGGGCTCAACAGAAGTGCAGAACTCCTGAAGGAGCATCCATCATCGTTGCCATCGCTCTTCATCGAGATGAACCGAGTCCAATTAAATTTCACATTATGTGCAATGCAAAAACAGGAAAGACATGAATTGCGCCAGCAACACTCCTTCTTGGTCGATAAGCTTCAAATCGGTATGCGAATTGGACGTTCCTACAGGGGCGAATTCGTGGAAATCCCGCATATGAGTTGATCGTTCGGAAGCAGATTTTCTCGTGAAGACCCGAAACGGCATTTCAAAAAAGAAACGCCAGAAGTAGGAAAATTTAGGTTGAGGACAAAGTTCTGAGAAGAACGGAAAGTACGGGAACGAATTCCTCTAAACATGACTACGGTCGCGGCAACATTATCGGTCTATCATCTTTTCTGCAGTTTTTCCGTTATACCATTCCATTTATTACGACAAAACTAAGAAGCTAAGCCGGTAATCAGCTAATTGATCTTCTCTGAAGCAAAAGAAGATTAGCACCGGATTTTTCTCGCAGAATGATTTTTAGGATATTGAAAATGGATAGCCGTAATTCCTTGCCAATTCCGCAACATTTGAGCTGTTTTCTTAGTTTTTCAAAAGCAATAAGCCTTCGGAAAGCTCCAGAAGATTACAACTGTTAGAAGGCTTCAAAGAATTTCATAAAACTACTTTTGGAGTGATACTAACATGAAATAATGTGGAACTCCATAAACGATTGTTTTGCAGAAAATTAAGAGGAAGGTGCAAGAACAATTAAGTCACACTGGGAAGAAATAAATAGAGTAGACGGAATTGGATGAACGCCATTATGATACGCTGGCGCATTGGTGTTCGATTTAAAAGCTCACTTAGGTAGTGAGAGTGATGTTCTTCTATATTACGATGCTCCATATTTCTTAACGGACAGTCGATGGATGGTCTGGATAGGTCGGTGGTTGTCGT